AAACTAGCTATGTGTACTGTGCTAGACTAACTGAGACTTGTCATGGCACTTGTATACTGTTGTTCTCTCGTTCGTCTGATTGCTTCTATTGTTCTCATTTGTAAGTCGCTTTGGATAAAAGCGTCTGCTAAATGATTAAATGTAAATGTATTATTACAATTCATGGCAAAATGAATGTTTGGTAAAATGTAAACTGATATTTCCTACTGACACACTACAGCAAATGATAGAATATACCATATCTAAATATACAAAATAACACAAGCAAGAAATGCATCATATTGAACACAGGGTGGCGCCATTGAGACTTGAAAAACATGTTTGGAAATGTGCAAAGTAAAACTTGAATAAGATGGATCAGAAATGTTGCGGCAAAAAGTTTTGTAAGCACAATTTATTGGCACACAAAATGGCAAAGCATACATACAAGACTTTGGATATGACACAAGAAACAGCTCTGCTAAATATTTTACAAACTGTGCAGAGTTTCAGTAATACAAGGTTTAAACAGTGGGTGGCTGATATTGTGTTTTGTCATTTTGTTGGTTTTGGAAATATCTTAGGCTTTGCGATAATATTCAGGAAATATGTTTTGTAATGACAAAACACAGGAACAAAGAAACTGATTAATTAAAAAAAATATTTGGCTGTTTGTCATCATCATCATCATCATCATCACCACTGTAATATTCTTTTCAATCATTAAAGCACACCACAACTCTTAAAGGGCCTTTAAGAAACGTTTTCAAATCCAGTGGACAGTACATGAAATTTTTTTTGTAAAAACAGTGTGTCTCTAGCTACAGAAATGACATAAAGCTGTATAAACCTGTTCACATGATTTGCTAGAAGGGCATTCGTTGCATTTTTTAGAATGATGAATTTTAGATAAAAAGGCTGTTTTCCTTTTAAAAGTAGGGTGAAGCTATACACGATGAATGTTATTTAAACTCATACAAACTAATGAACAGTATATTTGTGATTGGATTTACAGTAAGCTATATTTAATGTTCTCATTTCTCAGTATGGTGTTCATTCCGGAGTATGAAATTATCTGTTATTATCAGATAAAAAAAAAAAAGAAGTCAAACAACAAGTAGTAAACGTCAAAACAGCTGCCGTTTACATCAAGGTCTGATGACTTCAGTGACATCAGATGAAGCAGAATGCATTTTTATTGTCAAAGTCACAACCCTGGTTACTGTGCTTCCAAATTGATTACCAAAGTCCAACATGACCTCAAAAGTCTGGAAATAAACATATTACCGATTTCAAAATGTCATGCAGAAACATATCATATTCCATTCTGAAAAGAAGTCAATACAGGGAAAGAGGCGAAAGATGGACAAATTTGCTTTTCATATGTGCTTGCCTGTCCATAAATAAACCCCTAATCCCTATGGTACAGTACAATGAGAATACAGAAAAATCACAAATGATTGAAATCACACATTGACTCAGAAATCAAATAGGAATTTTTGAATTAAAGTACAATCTGTAAATGGCTACTGGCAATGCTTTTTTTGTTTGTTTTCAATGCAAGCTGTCTTTGTTAATGTAGTCAGTTGTGTTGAAGTTCACTTTTAATTGAAAGCAGAGAGAAAAAGACAATAGCCAAACGAATTTCCAATAAAAATGCAAATGTTCAGGGATTGGTCTCAGTGGGTGCCTCTGCAGTTCCAGTCTCCAGTGAGAAGGCAGTCAACATGACCGTCTCTTCAGCGATTGGTTGATATCGAGTGTGGTTGCCAGCTGGTGTCACTATGGAGATGTGTGATGAACTACGAGACAGGTAGCTTTTTTACATTGATTATTGGGCTAAAGTTGTCCCAAATTCAGGTCTCTGTTAATTCAGATTGCTCACTCAGCCTCGATAAAATCAAGTTCCTCCTAAAGTCACATTTCTCACGATGCTCTGTAGCCTAGCTAGATGATTTCGAAAAAATCCAGTGAGCAAATATTGCTGCCAAAGTTTGGTCTGTGAAGTTCTTAAACGTTACCCCAAATAAGAAGTGGAACCATCAGTTTCTGGTGAAAATGGATGACATCATTGACACCATGACTTGGGATTTACATCATCGAGGGTAAAAAGTGAGGTCAGAGAGAAAGCATTGCGCATGTTGTCTCCTACTGAGAGGGCTGCGAGGCCGTACTCTCTGGCTTGCTGTCTTGTCCTGTGGGCGGCTTGCTGTTCCAGGGAGCATTGTTGCCGAGCGCCGGCGAGCTTGTGAAGTCGTCGTCATCGTCCAGGCCGTTGGTGGCGTCGTATTGTGTGTTTTCTAGCCGAGTGATCAGACGCTCGTCCTCATCGCCAAACTCCCCGCCCATCAGAGTGGGCTCACCTACCACCATCACATCCTGCAATACATACAGCTAGACAGTCAAACACCTAAGAAACAAACAACAATATAAGGCAGGTTTCATATATATGAAGAGACTTTGGGTGCAGATGAAGACAAAACAGTCCAACCAGACCCAGACATACGTTGGATGGTGAAGGACCGGTTTGTGGTTTGAAATCCCTAACCTTGAATTTAGCAAGCACCAGTAAAAATGTTTAAATGTGGGGTTGGGTAAATCATTTGTTTTCATATTAAGATATTTATAAATATATTTATATACATTATTTGTAACACTCATTATTTTAAGTTAAAAGTATATAAATATATTTATTTATAAAATATTATATTAAAAATATACATAATTAAAATATAATATCTAAAATTAGATGTGAATAATTACTGTGTGATAAGTTAGAACTTTTTAAAATTATTTAAAAAAATAATCAAAAATGTCAAAAATATTATATTATATAAAAATATATGACATTAAAATATAATATATAAAAATAGATGTGATTAATTGTGATTACACTGCGTGATTAGGTACAATTAACTTTTTAAATAGTATTTTAATGTGTTAAAATAATGTATATAAACATTTATAAAAATGTTGTAATATATTAAATAATATAAAAAACTGATGTTATTGTGATTAAATTGTGAGGAGTTACAATGTTTAAATTGTATTTTAATGTGTTAAAATAAAGTATATAAATATGTTCATTTATCAAATATATCTTAAATTAAAATATAATACATGAAATAGATGTGATTCATTATGTCAAGATGTGATAATTGCAATCAATTGTGTGATTAATTAGTTACAATATCGTATCTGGAGCTTTGTTCAAGTGCAGGCTTTTTTCTCTCTCTAGCTGAATTCTCAGGCTCAACTGATCAGTTAACTGTAGCACACGCTTCGCTGATCATGTGTGTCGACACACTACGGCATGGGAGCTCTTTATCTTTATCTCTCTGTATACTCTTCTTCTAGCTCCCATTCTATGTACGATTTGCCAACTATCCCATACAGAATTGGCCCGTATTTAAGGGAACGGAATATTAGATCCATATTTGATCCTTATGGGACAGAACTACATCAGCATGCATAAGTTGGGAGCACACAATCCACATGCGTGAGCAAACACAGATGAGACACATGGATGGAAACTCAAACACTATTTTCTTTATGAGAGTGTTCAACAGATAATTTTGCTGCCCAGCTTTAGCATCAAGTGAATTTGCATTTAGCACGGTTATAGACTGCATTAATATCTGTTTTTCTGAGACATGAATGTGGCCAAGTGTAAATGAAATGTGCATATCCAATCAGACAGCAATCTAACTGATCAAGATGCAAGAAGTGACTAAAAATAAATAGGCTGACAAAATTACTGCACCAAGAAAAAAGTAAATTTGAGCAGTGAACAAGAAAAGTATTAATACATTATTTTTAACACTTTTATTTGTTATATTTTTGCACTTTGTACTGCTCATCAGAATGTTTTGGATAAAAGCAGAGACAATTTGTCCGCTTTCAGCTTCTTGTGCATTTATTCCACTGGATGTGTTGCTTTATTTAAAATGTCTAAAATAAAAAAGCATTCAAAAGCTGAGTATGTTTATAATGAAATATTTATGCACCGTCAAATTCTTTAGTGTTATACTGTAAATTGGCAGAGGTTAAACTGAAATGTGTAGTAGTGTGTGACACTTTAGTATGACATTAAAATTAATTGCATTTTTTAAAATAACAGACACAATGAAATTGAATGTCAGTGAGACAAAATTAATGTGATTGCATCTTAAATGCATTTTAGCACTTCATTTATTGTTTTGCCTAAATTAAATCGCAAATGTGCAAATCAAGAAACTGTGAGTAGCCCAGTAACACTTTACAATAAGTTTCAATACATAACTTTAGTTTCTGGAAGCCTTTATAGACTTTAGTATGGTAAAAAAAAAAATACTATGGAAGTCAATGGCTACCAGCAACTGTTTGGTTATACATTTTAAGCCACACATATATTAACAATAACATATTTATAAATTACCATTAGATTAATGAAGCCTGTAAAAAGTAGTTAAAGGGGTCTCTACGTCACGATGTGGGAAGATTTGCATAACACCACCCAAATGTTCACGCAAAGAAAAGAAGGCTTAACTTCTCGCTGTAGTATTGTTGTACGAGCTTTGTAAAAATCGATGCGTTTCAGAAAGGCGGGGCATAGAGGAGAAACAATAATGTACAGTATGTGGAAAATAATGTGTTTTTTGAACCTTAAACCGCATAAACACATTTCATTACACCAAATACACAAAATAACATTCTATTTAGCAGCATCATATGACCCCTTTAATGATACCTAATGCATTAACTATTCTTAACCAACTGAACATTAAGCATAAAGTGTTTGTGTATTTACTGTCCCTTATTTTCCTGTTCATTCTCCAGGTTACTAGCTATGAGACTCCTTACACCCTTCACACTACTGGACCTGCGCTCTCTGCATATCCTATCTCTTGATTTAGCTCTTTTATTGTTTTTTTATTTTCATTTCTGTTTATTTGAGCGCCGACTCTTGTGTCATCTCGTGAGAGCTTTGGCTGAGACCCCAGAGTCACTGTCAGTCCTTCCCACCCCTCTGCTTCTTAATTACTCTCATTCATTAAGGTGGGCTTTTTGACTAAATAACAATATCCACACACTGATTTGTCAATTTGCATAGCTAATTAAGTAATTAGCTGAAATGTTACCGATTAGAAAAAAACGAACACCGCTTGCCAATGAGCCTTGAATTTGCCATCTGTTTTTGAAAGGCAACTGTCGCCCTGCAGTCTGGGTGTTAAACCGGGGGCCAGGATCACAAACGTTAGCACACACACATACAGACGCGCTCACGCAACCTACAGGTTTCCAGCTGGTGGTTTGACGGAGAGCTCTAATTGCTATCAAATGGAAAGGCTGTCCAGTGCTCTTGTCTAATTAGATGTAGCCTGTGGCTAAACCCACAGCAAAACAAACCGACTACCTGCCGCCATCAACGACTGGCTCTGCATCCACCTCCATCTGAGCTTGAGGAGCACAGAAAGCCCTCATTTGAGCTGGACATTGTTTAAGACTTGAGAAGATGTCCATGCATGTGCAAATCCAGGCACGTTGCACATGCATGACAGACCAACTTGTCATTATAGCCTACTACTGAAATCATAATTCTAGCCCAAAAACATAACCACAAGGGGGCACTGTTGTAATACTGTTGAACACAAGAACCCCCTCTCCCCAAAACCTGGTGGTCACATGATCAGCTTATTGTGATTGGGCTCACATAGGAGGCCGATCAGGCAGCATGCAATGACTGCACAGACAAAGCCAAGTGGCCACGCTACATATGTAACCAGCGTGTTTCTCTCCGCGACGCACGGCGACATTGCTTACAATGAAGCTTACTGCTTTCGAATGGGGAGTAAAATGACAAGTGTTGTGACACACACACACACACACACACACACACACAGAAGATCTATATGATAATGAGCGCTGGCACAGAGCCAGTTGCTCACACCAACAATTTTCTCTCTGCTTGTGTGAATGTGTCTGGTGCCCTCAGAGTGATGGACGTTGACTAGATACAAGCAGGACAAAATATATGCAACTAGAGTTCCATATACTGAGAGACAAATCTTCCCGAGAGAGAAGAAAAAAATTTGTAAATAAAATATTTAATTTCAGCAGATATGTACATATATATCATTTTATACGGCCATATACATGAATATATGATATAATTAAATGGAGTAATTTCATTTAAATAAGCTAATTTCAAATAAAATACATTTTCATATCATTTAAAAAAAAATCAAATATAAATATTGGATTATAAAAAAGAAATTTTAATTTAAAAAAAATTATTTTTTCATTTTTTAAGTACTAAAACTAAAACTGTAATAAAAAAATTGAACCTATATATATATAAATGATAAATGAAAATAGAAAGCTAATGAATATTATAATAGTATATATAAAGCTAATAAATATTATAATAGTATATATGATACTAAAATAACCATGATACAGATATATGATATAACTTTATTATAATTTTGTTTTCATATTTTATATCAAATATTTTTGAATTTTATAATGATATTAAAAAATATGTATCAGATATTGAATAAAAACACTATGTTTGATCGCTATTAAAAGCTGAGCTGAAAGAAAAAAGTTAAAATAAAGAGTAAATGCAATTTTTTAAAAACAATTTTGTAAAAAAGAAAAAAGAAAAAAAAAAGGAAAAAAAATTAAACCCACATTTTTTATAGCAATGTTTAGGTTGTGTCACCAGAGCATGTAAACAAACAGCTCTGGGTTTGACAGACTGAGCTGGAACACGCGACCGTCTCTCCTCTCTAATCTCCTCTACGGCATTCATGTATCCAATTGTCCCTGAACTCCAGGGGAAAAGCCACGCACTACAAATCCCATCATCCATCTGCAAACAAATTTACCGCCTCACAATACAACTCCCCAAAAACAGCTTCAGCACTCGTACGCTGTGTGTTTGACCCTGTAGTCAGTGTGCGAACTGGGAGAACACATCGACCGCCAGAGTAATGCCTGCAGAGGAAGCCTGGGGGATAAAGAGGCACTCTGGGATAAATGCCTCTGAATTGGGGTTAAACACTGTAAGTGGGTAATATAGGAATTGAAAATGAGGGCTAAGGAGTCTCTCTCTGTGAAGGTGCAGAGAGAGAGTATTTACTTTGGCATTGGGATTGAATGTGCTTTATATATGTGTCACGGCCCAAAAAACTGACACAACATTGCTATAACGTGTCATAACAGCACTTTAATGTGTCATTAGTGGTGAGAGACACAGATTTACATTTACATTTAATCATTTAGCAGACGCTTTTATCCGAAGCAACTTACAAATGAGGAGAACAATAGAAGCAATCAGACGAACGAGAGAGCAACAGTATACAAGTGCCATGACAAGTCTGTTAGTCTAGCACAGTACACATAGCTAGGTTTTTTTTTTAAATAGAATGGAATAGAATAGAACAGAATAGAATAGGTAAGTGCTAGTATTAGTTCGTCAGGTGCTGGTAAAGGGATAGTTCACCCAGAAAAATGAAAATTCTGTAATTTAATCACAAACTTGTCACACCAAACCTGTATGAGTTTCTTTTCTTCATGGAACACAAAAAGAGAAATTTTGTTTGTACTTGTCAATCTTTTCAACACAATTACAATGAACAAGGAATGGTGCTTTTTCAAGCTTCAAAAAGGGTGTTTAAGCAGCACATTATAAAAATATCGTAAAAGTGGTCCATACGATACATTATCTACAAGTCTTTGGAAGCTATACGGTAGTTTTGTTTGAAGAACAGACTGAAATTTAAGTCATTATTCAATAATAATCCTATTCAGTTGACTCTTAACCAATGCAAACAAATCATTCAATCTAGTTTTGTAAAATGAATCAGATGATTTACTGAAAAGATTTGGCTCAAAAGAATGATTCGTAACGAATCAGATATTCTGTTAAACTGTCAGATGATTTATACAGTGCACAAGTTTTGTATGCTAACTTTGTGGGGCTTTTTTGTCATTTTGGAGATTGACAGCCATTTGTTTTCATTATTTGCTTGATGCAAATAAATTTTCTTCAAAAAATAATCTTTTGTGTTGCATGACAAAAAGAGAGTCATATGGGTTTGGAACAACATGAGAGTGAGTAAAAACGACAAAACTTTTTCATTATTGAAGGAACCCTTCCTAAGCACAGGTCACAGGAATATGATTGAATAAGCTCTTGTCACACAGCTATTGCTGTGAATCAAAACTACAGCGCCTCTTTATATGTGTTTTGACAGCATAATCATATCCTTAGGACAGCAATCTGAGCAAAATTGTCTTGGTTACAATGTGTGTACTGTATGTGTGTGTGCAGAGAAGAAGATTTGATGCTTACAGGTACCTGGCTGGTCAGATTGAAGTTGTTGGCAGGGCTGCGTTTCTTGCCGCCAGCGCTGTTGCCAAGGCTACTGTTAGACGCATTGCTGGCAGAGTTCTTCCTCTTTCTTCTCTTGGTCGTGGTCTGTCGAGTGGGCTCTGCTCTCCACAAAACGCACAAGCAGGCAGACACACACACACACACACACACACACAGATCAAAAGTATTAATAAAACAAAAAAACACACATCCACACTCACGAACATGCCACAATGCATGCACACAGAGGAAGAAAAAAGAATTTTCCAACACATACAAACACATATGGGTGATTACACAGGGAAAGATAAAGAAATGCATCATGCTTTTTCTATTTTTTTCTGAGAGAGAGAGAATCAAAGAGCATTTAAACATCTCCCAAGACATGCACTAGTAAGAGAGAACCTCTGCTTTCATTTGCATAAATGCTCAAGCGTGCACACTGCAGTCTCGGCAGCCAGCCATGCATGCATACTTATATTATTAATGTACAAATAATGTTTAATTTCAATAAACAGCACTAACACTATCATTAAAATGTGTTTTCTAATTCATTTTTGGAGGATAAATCCTTAAAAAAACTTTTAATAAATAAACTAAACAATTTTGATTACGTTTTAGCAAATATAACTTTTTTTTTTTTAAACAAATTGCCTATTTTGAGTGACTACTGAAATATCCTCCTGTAATATCTCTCTTTTTATGCTCAGCATTCATGGTTCACACAGAGAGAAAATGTATTTCATGGGTTTCAATTTAGACACAGAATGTAGTTTGCCTATTAGAAGATGATTCAGAAGATGAGACGAGTACCTTTTTTGTGATTCGAGGGGAAAATTTCCGTTTTGAAGTTCTGTGGATGTCCAGCTGAAATCATATCCAAAGCAAGATTTATTTTCCAGATAATACTTATGAAAAATGAAGCTGTTATGCATATCTAAGAGCAGAAGACATATGCAAATGTAAACTGCAAGACTGCAGCCTTGCTGTCAACGGCAGAAATTTTTGAAATATGCATTGCAAAATCTGTGGGTCTCATTTGCTAATCATACAAACACACATATTTGTGCACAAACCCTGTGTGAACATTTCTTGCAGAAATCACTATCGTAAATTAGATAATTTTTACCCTACTGCTTAAATGTTTGGGGTCAGTCGACTTTTAGTTTTTTTGAAAGAAATTATTAATTAAGCAAGGATACATTAAACAAACATGACAGTAATGAAAGGTGATCATTATGAAAAATGTTTATTGTATTTCAACTGCTTTTGAGTATGAATGAATGAGACTCAGTATGCCTAAATGTTCAAATCGACTGAAAAATAATAGTTTGTTAATGTTGTAAAAACTGTACAGCCATGAATTGTTATTTTATTGATTTAATTTTAGTATAACAATCAACATATTTGACACATCGTTAGTCATTACTGATGCCTGAAAATGAAATACATTTTCGAGGTTCTTACTAACCACACCCAGGGGATGTTTCTACATTGTTTGTACATTACAGATTTAACATAAAGTCAAATACAATAATAAACAGACTGTACAAGGAAATCAGTTTTGATTTTCTGGAGAAGAACCTTTATGTTTGTATGTTTATCAGTGCGAGTGTGTGAATGACGTACAAAAACGCCCTTGTTTCCACAGATACACATATACACGTGAAAAAAGGGGCAAAAAAACTTATCAGCATATAAAGGCAACCTTCTTTCCTTCCTGTTCTGAACACAAACGCTCTCCAGATTTCAAAAGAATGGGAGGAAAGAGGGAAGCGCAGCTAATAAGGAAACGACAATTACAGAAGATCCACTTGGATACGGACTGTGAGAAGGCCGGTGCTGACGACTGGACGGGGGTCATACAGGGTTTCACCCACACGGAGCGGATGGAGGATGTGTTTCAGTCTCATACATGTCATGTTGTCACTGTTTAAATCATATTGCATATGTAAACCCGTCATGTGATCTAAAGACAAGTCTAAATCATTATTATTGATTGATTTGTCCCCCTGAGGAATCTACAGAGACATCAAAAGCTGGAGATATCCACTGATGTCTAATCCTTACTGACACATTCTACCAAATGAGAGTTTTTAGAAAGGATAAGTGAAAAAAGAGAACAGCTACTCTAAAAATGCACAAACTGACCTGTGACCGCCCTGTTTCTATTAGATACACTACCAGCCCCAAAACTATATGGACACTTACATTTGCCACACATCACTGCTAAACTGCAGCTGAAATTTTTCAACAGAAATGGGCACTAGCTGAAACATATTTACCTAAAATAACTTGAATGTACGGTATGTTATGTATGAATCCAGCAGATAAAGTAACAGAATATAGTGTAATCTTTGAAGTGTAATTGTGTCTTAATTTTCATTTTATTTATTTACTTTTTCCTTCTACTGTCTTTCATTTAATGTTTAATCAGATGCTAATTTTAGCACTTGTTAACAACAGCTGTCAGGGTTTTTATGTATTATTATTGCTATTTATTTTTATTTTAATGTCTAATTGTCTGTTAATGTATTTTTATTACACATAATTATTATATTATAATAAAATGTAATATATATATATATATATATATATATTACATTTTATTATAATATAATAATTATGTGTAATAAAAATACATTTTAGTTAGGGGGCAACACAATGCATTAAGAGCTGGGGGTGTAAACTTTTTGAATTGGATGATCAGGGTAAATTGTACTTATTTTGTCTTCTGGGAAACATTTAAGTATTTATGTAGCTTCTTAAGTGCAGTACCAAATAAAAAACAAAATGATCTTAAAACAAAATAAGAAAAATTTACAAATCATCCTGTTCAAAAGTTTACACGCTTTGGCTCTTAATGCATTGTGTTGCCTTCTTGAGCATCAGTAAATGTTTCCACCTTTTGTAATAGCTGTGTATGAGTCCCTCAATTGCCCTCAGTGTGAAAAGATGGATCTCAAAATCATACAGTCACTGTTGGAAAGTGTTCAAATATGCAGAAGATGCTGGAAAACCAAAGAATGTGCAGGAGCTGGGGGATTTTTCTGAAGAACAGCAGGCAGTTGAACTGCTCAAAACCAACAAGGGACTCATGAACAACTATCACAAAATATAAAAACAGTAGTGGATCATCCAGGAAACAACACAGATTACTAAAATTCAAGGATATGTAAACGTTTGAACGGGGTCATTTTTTATGAATTCAGTTATTATTTTGTCTTGTTGAGTATATATAAACATCTGTTATGTGAAATGGATTATTCAGGAGAGTACTAAATAAAAATAACATGACTGTAATGTTTGAAGAACGACAGACAAAAGACGCCCTGTCTTAACTTTTAATCAGAACGCAGAACAACTGTATCACAGGTGCACCAGCCTAACTAACTCGCTCGTCTCTTAACCCTATAACTGCCGGTGCAGCAAAATAAACAGCAATTTCACAATGATTATAAGGTCTGTGTGCTCCACTACATTCTTTATTATTAAATGAAGTAATAATTAGAACACCGTCAGTCTACATTAATCGACACATTCTTAGGAAATAGTGGGTTCACAGCGAATTATCAGAACTACTTCAGCTTTACC